AAGGTCGTAGCTGCTACTTACCTGAAAGGGCAAAGTTGTAGCTGCTACAGTACCGAAAGGCCAAGTTCGAGACTTCTAGAAGTGGCCTTTCGGAGTTGGCCTGTGTTCAGCAGAGGCAAGTGGTCAAGTGGTGGTAGTCCACCTAGCCCAGTCAGCAGTCCCAGTTAGTCAGTCCGGTCCTGTTCAGCAAGTACCGTCTGGGACTGTGTGCACATCGTGGGCCAAGGGATACAGGGCAGACCAACGCAGCGCAGAAGTATAAATCAAGAGGCTGAGTCCAGCCATTCATTCATTCCTGCGGATGCTGGCAGCCATAGCTGCCATAGCTATAGTAGCGTGTGTGTGTGTGTGTTGCGTGTAGAGTTTTGCGTGTGGGACATCCAGGGTGATCCAGAGTGCGATCAGTGAGTTGTGTGGGCGCTCAGTCGCCATAGCCAGTTGAAGAAAACTCCTACCTGGTTACGATATCTTGAGTACTGCGTGGGCGCATGTCGCCAGTTTGCTGTTTCGCTGTTTGCATGCATGAAAAGTGTGAAGAAGTCGAGTCTGATTGCACTGGTATCGGAGCAAGTACCCGATGTCCCATGCGCGCCATGTGTGCAGGGCCGATCGGCCATAGCTGAAGTGCCGCCGGAGGAGGCAGTCCGCCATAGCGGACCTCGAGGTGGAAGAAGACGCCGCGCACCTACAACAAGAAGACTACAAGAGAGAGAGAGAGAGAGAGAGAGAGAGAGAGAGAGAGAGAGAGAGAGATGAGCGATCCAAGATTGGTTGTCACTTACCTGTGAGCCGAGCGGTGGAGTCCGGTGGAGGAGGAAGACGGCGGCCATAGCCGCGGAGCATTGACATAAAGTGCCGGAGGAGAGAGAAAGGGAGGACAGAGAAGGAGGGACTAAGGAGAGAGAAGAAGAAGTGTGGGAGGAGGAGGTTGGAGAAGAAGGCAGACATAGCCGGGGGCGAGCACAAAAAAAAAAAATAATAATAATACAGCGAAAGTGAAGGGAAAGAAAGTGAAAGACGGGGAAGTAGACGGCGAGGGCGACGAAGGTGAAGGTGCCGGCAGCCATAGCCGAGGTGAAGGGTTGACCGGGCGTTGACCAGGGCATTGACCAGAGGGTTGACCAAGGGTTGACCAGAGGGTTGACCAAGAATTGACTGGGGCTTGTCTGCGTTGACTCAGCGTTTTCCAAGGCGTTGACCGGAGCTGCTGACCAAGATTGTGACCAAGCTGGAGTTGGTGATATCTCGTTGAACCCTCAGCCTATCCCCTTACCCTGTGGATGTGCACTTACCCCACGATACTTGCTGAGTCTGTCTGTCTACTCTTTCTGCATTGAGTCTCTTCTGTCCTAGGTGCTAGGAATCTGTGGATGAAGGATAGGGCCTTGCTGCCAAACCTACACGGGCTTAGTAGGACCAAAGCTCTACTCTGGCACTTGGAGACCTGGGAATGAGCGGCGAGCGCTCGTTAAACAACTCGTCTAGCCCAATGACCGGTACTGTCCGGCAGGTCTACTGAGTTCAGTGTGGAGGGTCTGAACTTCGAGATGTAGGCTGAAACGAAGGCCGTCTTTAAGTGTTGAGGCCTGGTTGAGCCAATCCCCTACCGGACCCAGAAGGCTGATGATCCGTGTCTGACGACTCGACTGTCCCGAGGGATACGAACCCCTCCAAGGACCGGTACAAACTGGCGGGCTGCTCGGTGTGGCACAGGAGGCTGGACGGGCTGAGTTGTGGGCTGAAATCGCCAGAGGAACCAAGCCGATCGCGTCGTCCTGTCTGCGACGTTAAAGAATTCTTGCGGAGTTTGGGGGATCTCCTTAAATGCCTCCTGATCAGCTCTTGGTTCTGTAGTGACAGCCTTAGAGTAGTCTCGGGTTAGTAGTGGCCATACTTGACAGGGTCTTATCCTGTGGTCCTTAGGAAGTCAGTCAGTAGGTTAGTGTGTCCGGGTAGGGCTACGTGGTGAGGAGTGGGACCCTCGTAGTGCACCAACACCACGATGGACGACTACCCGACGTATGGGTTGCTGGTTGGGTTCTCCCTCTGGGGGACCCTTTGGCGTCTCCTCTTTCCTCTGGGATTTTGGCATACCTTTGCGTGTAGAGTAGGGCCGACTCGAGGTGGTACCGCCACCCAACCATACACGAAGGAGGAGGAGGAGAAGATGGCCGCCATGGAGAGGAAGGAGAAGAAGGAGGCCAAGAAGAAGGCCTTGAAAGAGGAACAGGCGGCCAAACTAAAGAAGATGGAAGAAGAGATGGCCAGGGAGAAAGAGAGGTTGAAAAAGGAAGAAGAAGAGAAGCTGAAGGAGGTGGATGAAGAAGAGGAAGGACCGCCACTGCAAAAAAGTGGGCAGCACAGCGGCAGCAGCAGTGATGAGATGGAGAAGAAGATTTCGGAGTGGGTCGCCAACTTATCCCTGGGTGAGGAGGAGGAGGTTGCTATGTACATCCCCAAGGATAAGCACTGTCTCTTATACACATCTAGATGTGTATAAGAGACAGGCCCAATAGTAATACCGGTGGAGACTTAGAGAAGAAGATATCTGAATGGGTTGCCAACCTGACTGTGGGTGAGGAGGAAGAGGTTGCTATGTACATCCCCAAGGATGAGCAAGAAGCCGCCATGAAGAAATGGGAAGCAGAAGATGTTCTGACGCGGCGGGCGATGGAGGATGAACAGAGGATGGCGTGGAAGCTCGCAGTGATGAGGGAGAAGAAGAGAAGAGTGGAGGCGGCGAATGCAGCAATGCAAGAACTAGCGGAGGTGAGGACTGCCTTAACAACACAATTGACCCCGCAAGTAGATCTCCAACGCAAAGTGGAGATCATCGCCCAGAGCGTTGACCGGTTAGCTAAAGTGCAAGAAAAGCACTATGAGTTTAGTCGCAGCCAAGAGATATCCGTGCGTTCGATGCCAACGGGATTACGGGATTTTGCTCGCGAACTAGTAGGCGCTGTGGGATCCGAGGTGAGTCATCGCCTCGAGAAGACGGAGCGTTTTTGTGTCGGCGCCATCGAAGGCGTCAAGGTGGCCGCTCCCAAGGAGGAGGAGGCCCGTCCTCGCAGGGAGCCAGTCAAAGTCAAATTCCCTGATTCCTACAGTGGGAAAAGGGAAAAGAACTTTGACAATTGGGAGGCCAATGTTAAGACCTATGTGCATTTGCAACAGGTCTCCCCGGATCAGCAGGTCTTAATTGCGATCCATGCACTTAGAGACGAGGCCGCCAGTTTCTCGAGATCCCTTGTTCGTGCTGCCAACTGTAGTGACGATCCAGTTTTGTACTCCTCGTTTACGTCCCTCACCGAATTCCTGAAGTTGCTGCGTGAGCGATTTGCTGATGTCACTCGCAGTGTCAAGGCCTCAGACAAGCTCCAAACCATCCATTCTCGTAAATGGAAGAGTGCCAGGGCACTCAAGGGTACAATCGATGAGTTGGTGGCCGTCCCTGACCATGGGGTCACAGAGGGCCAGTTGGTCAACCTCTTTTACCGGGCTATGCCCGAAGCCTTTCGAGGGCAGTTCTTCGCGAAGAGCGAAGACCCTGCCACCACTTACGATTCCCTTAGTCGTGAGGTGGTGGCTTTTGAAGCGAAGTCAGTGTCCGTGTCCACCTTTTGGCATAAGGATTTGGACAAGGAAAGCTATGGAAAGGCCACACTATCTCAGGGCAGGTAAAGACCAAGGATAGCCTTGTCTTGACTTTAGATGAGGGTAGTGTTGATGAGATTCCCTACGATCAGATTGAGTGGGGGCTAGAGGAGGCGGACAGCGGTGTGGGCCAGGGGAGATCCTACGCTGCTGTCGCGGCCGGAGGGAGGCCGCAAGGAGGAAGAGGCCAGGGCCAAGGGGGCCGGGCCTCAGGGAGCCGGTTTCAGGGCGATCAGGGGGTTGGCGGCAGAGGAGGAAACCGCCAAGCGGGAGGAAGGGGTCAAGGTCCCCCGCAAAACCGTCCTAGGAACAGGTTTCCCTATAGAGTAGGAGGATGGCACCCAGGGCTACCGCAGGGTAGGCCTTGGGAATCTTTGGGTCTGGACCAGACTTTATGGCAACAACAATTGGACCGGGGCCAGTGCATCTTCTGCGGTGGCCCGGGCCATATCATCAAATATTGTCCTAAGTATAGAGAGACCCGAACGGCTGCCCAAGGGCCAAAAGGCAGCCGCCGGTAGGGGTAGCAACTGCCCCTACCACCAGGCCATGTGGGGAAAATAGCGCTAGCCGGCAGGAGACTCCCACACCGCATGTGCCTACGGCAGAGGTTGCAGGCCGGTGTCTAGACAACTGTCCCGAAACTGCTTGTGTTAGAGTTTCGCTAGACACCTCCCTCACAGGCGTGGCCGAAGAGTTGAAGGAGAGGATGCCCGCCTGGGCCAAGATGAAGAAGGAGAACAAAGGGCAGCTTATATTACTAGATACAAAGATTTTTAGAAGTAGAGTAGGGGCCCTAGTAGACTCAGGGGCCACTCGCAGCTATATTAGTAGGAAAGCGCTGCAGAAGTTGAGGCTGGGACTTAAAGTCCAGAAACTGACAGACCCCATAGTTAGTATCCTCGCGGACAGTCGTACTATGATTGTAGAAGATTACGTAGAGGGAGTCCAGGCGTATTTCCGCCTAGAGAAAGATGGGAAAGTGGAGAAGGTCCTCCACTCCCTGACTCTCCTCGTAGAGGACAGCCTCCCATTTGACATTGTCCTGGGAATGGACTGGGGAGAGGCAGCCGGAGCCACGCTCCATTTGAAGGAGAACGAGTATAGGCTCCCTAGTTCGTCAGGCGAGGCCAAGACTGCCCTCCTGTTCCATGTGTTAGGGGTAGAGAATTCCTTGGCGCACTGCTGCCTTAGTGCCCCCGCGTTCGCCAGCCTGGTGAAGAAGGAGGGATTGGAGGAACAGGTCTTTGTTGCCTATGTTAGGCCAGTGACTGAGCGTACGGAGGAGAAGCCGATGGACCCCGCGATTGCCAAGCTGCTGAAAGAGTTTAAGGATTTGACTGAGCTGCGGACAGGCACGGTGCCGCGGCCCATCCAGCACCGTATTGAGATAGAGCCTGGCAGTAGAACTCCTAAGGGTGAGGTGTATAGGATGTCCCCGTGGGAGTTAGAGGAGCTGCGGAAACAGTTGGACGAGCTCCTTGAAAAGGGTTGGATTAGGCCCAGTTCGTCTCCTTTTGGAGCCCCTGTTCTCTTTGTACCTAAGAAATAGGGAGAGCTGAGGATGTGTATAGACTATAGGGGTCTGAATGCCATTACAGTGAAGAATGTTGAGCCACTGCCTAGGATGGACGATCTCTTAGATCGAGTGCAGGGGGCGAAGTATTTCTCCAAGATAGATATGAAGTCCGGATATCATCAGATAGAGGTACATCCTGATGATCAGTACAAGACGGCCTTCCGGACTAGATATGGGCACTACGAGTTCATAGTAATGCCCTTTGGACTAACCAATGCGCCAGCTACGTTCCAGCGCTGTATGAACGATTTGTTTAGGCCGTGGTTAGACAGGTTTGTTGTAGTTTATCTAAATGACATTCTAGTGTTTAGCAGGACCCTCGAAGAGCATCAGGGTCATCTCAGGCAGGTCTTGGAGAAGTTGAGGGAAGCTAACTTCAAGATTTATACGGAGACGACGTTAAGCCAGAAGATAGCAAGATCGCAGCGATTAGAGATTGGCCCACGCCATGTACGCTGACAGAGTTGCGCTCGTTCCTGGGCCTAGCTAACTACTATAGGAAGTTCGTGAGGAACTTCTCCACCATCGCTGCGCCCCTTCGCAAATTGCTAAGAAAAGAGACAATCTGGAAGTGGGACAAGGACTGCACTTCTGCCATGAAGAAGCTAAAGCAGGCATTGATAGAGTAYCCGGTCCTTAAGGTCGCCGAAAGGTCCTTGCCTTTTGTCGTTACTACGGATGCTAGCCAGTACGGCATAGGCGCAGTGTTACAGCAAGACGATGGCAATGGCTATAGACCCGTAGAGTTCATGTCCGCCAGGATGCCTTCAGAGAAGGTCGCGACATCTACCTATGAAAGGGAACTCTACGCTCTCAGGCAAGCCCTAGACCACTGGAAGCACTACTTGCTTGGGAGGCACTTCAAAGTCTATTCTGACCATCAGACATTACGATGGTTAAAGACGCAGGCCAAGATGACACCTAAGCTTACTAGGTGGGCCGCAGAGATAGATCAGTATGACTTTGAGCTCAAGTTGGTCAAAGGGAAGTACAACGTAGTCGCGGATGCTTTGAGTAGGAGAGCGGATAACTTTGGGGCAATAGTACATTACCTCGATATAGGGAAGGACCTGCAGCAGAGGGTTAGAGAAGCTTAGGCGCAGGACCCTATCTATAGTGAGCTCCTTAAGAAAGTCAAGGAGGCCCCAGAGACTGAAACGAATTACCGCACTACCGAAGGGTTGCTTTTTGAGAAGACTAATGTGTCTGACCGCCTGTGCATCCCCAATAGCGAAGAGATTCGTAGTCTGATTCTGGGCGAATGCCATAACACAGAGGGTCACTTTGGTTGGCAAAAGAATTTAGCCAATCTTATGCGTGCGTATACCTGGCCAGGGATGAAGAATGGCTGCGTAGAGTATGTTCGCAGTTGCAAAGTCTGCCAGCGTAATAAGAGTTCTACGCGCGGCCCGCTAGGTCTTCTCAGACCTTTGCCCATTCTGGATCAGCCGGGAGACTCAGTGTCAATAAATTTCATGGACACTCAAGTCAAGAGCAGGCGTGGCAAGAGCCAAGTCATGGTCATAGTTGACCGCTTTAGCAAGTACGCAGTTTTTGTTCCTTTGCCTTCAGAGGCGCGTACTGATTTAGTCATACAAAGGTTCTTTGACTGTTGGGTTAGTGAGAACGGAATCCCGTTGTCAATACTTAGTGATAGAGATAGTCGTTTCACCAGCCAGAACTGGCAAGAACTCATGGGACTGTATGGATCCAAGTTGTTGATGTCGTCCGGCCGTCATCCAGAGACTAACGGTCAGACGGAGCAAATGAACAAGATCCTACAGCAAGTTCTGCGCATGTATATTAGGCCGGATCAGATTAACTGGGATGAGATGTTGCCCAAAGTAGCTAGTGCGTACAATAATATCGTGCATCAGTTAAAATATGTCGCACTCCCAACGAACTGCACAAGTCCTTTAGACCGCGCAGACCGTTTGAGGGACTCAACCGGGATCAGATTCACAGATTGCCGCCCGGGACCCGGGAGTTTGGTGTGCAGCATGAGAAAGAACTACCTACCGTTGTAGAAAACCTCAGGAAAGCCCAGCATAAGATGATAGAGCAAGCGAACAAACATCGTCGCCCTTCACAGGTCCAAGTAGGAGACTTAGTCTGGGTTAGTTCCAAAGAGTTTGCGCCTGAGGAGAACATCTCGCAGAAGTTACTGCCCACATATAGAGGACCGTGGCCTGTCCTGGAAGTCAAGGGCGGCAAAGATGGACCGTCCTATACAATAGAACTCSCAGCACACCTCCACACGTACCCAGTTTTCCACGCATCGAAGTTGCTACCTTGTCAGACAAGTGACCAGTTTCCATCCCGTAGATCGATGATCCCACCGGATATGGATGGA